AAGCTAGTCGTTCTTTCTGAGACTAGACAAGATGCAAGGAAAGTTGAAAAACTGAAGTGGAGACTTGGTTTGAAAGGTTTCCATGGTGTGAGTAGTGATGGCAGAAGTGGTGGATTGGCTTTGTTCTGGGATGAATCGTTATCCGTAATAGTACTTGATGTGTGTAATCGTTTCATTGATGTCAAAATTGTGGATGTAGGTTTAGATACTGCTTGGAGAGGGACCTTTGTGTATGGAGAGCCTAGAGTTGAAAATAGGCAGCGCATGTGGGATCACTTATGCCGCCTTTGGGCTGCCTCGCAGGATCCGTGGTTGGTTTGTGGTGATTATAATGAGGCACTATGGAAGCATGAGCACTTATTTCTGAACCCGCGCTCTGAGAACCAAATGGTCGCCTTCCGAGTGAGCTTGACGATCTCGGTTTTTGTTGGCTACCATACACATTCAATAATGGTCAGCAGGGTTCTTGCAATGTCCAGGTCCGTCGTCTAGACCGGGCGTGTGCAGATGAAGCTTGGCGGGATATCTTCCCTTCTGTGAAGGTGTTGCATCTAGCCACTTCGTGTTCTGATTAGCCCTCTGTTAGTTCAACTAGAGGGAGTACAAGAGCAACGGCATCGGGCCTCTGTCTCACGTTATGAAATCATGTGGGAATGGGACCATGCGCTACCTAGTGTTATTGCTGCGGCTTGGGCTAAGCACAGGCCTAATGGTAAGCTGGGCTCGGTTGCCACCTCCCTTAGTGAGGTGATGATAGAGCGCAAACAGTGGAGCAATGCGAACTTCAGGAATGTTTTGAAGGAAATCGAGACTTTGTGTAAACAGCTCGCCGACCTCCAGCTTGCAGGTTCGGATAGAGCACAAATTCGAAGTAAGATGCATCAACTAGGTGAGTTGCTGTACCGTGAAGAAATGATATGGCTCCAACGCTCACGCATATCTTGGTTGAAGGAGGGGGAGCGAAACACCAAATACTTGCACCGACGGGCAGTTTGGCGTGCGCGTAGGAATCATATCCAAGAGGATGGCTTTTGGTGTAATGCTCCGAGCGATATGGAGAGGATGTCATCTTCATATTTTCAAGAAATCTTTACCAAGGATCCAACACTTAGCTCGGGTGAGGTCCTGGATTGTATCGAGCCAACGAGCCGCTGGCTTCACGTCTGTGCGGCCTCTCATGGTCACTGCACTCCGTATTGGGATTAAACACGACCGCTAGTCCGTGTCCGTTCTATGCACGTGCATATGCGTGTGTCCGTGTAGGTTTCCTAATCCATCACCGAGTAGGACTACTAGTTAGCCAGGTTAGCTAGTATATATACTCAAGGTATCCCCTGTAATCTGTATCACAACGAAAAGTTCAGAGCAATAAAAGAGCATGGCTCGATACTGT